AGTGGGAGGAGAATAATAAGTAGCAAGTTGGAAAGTCTAAGTGAGCAACGTCATAGTAGCAATACATTGTAACGACAGGACTCCATCAGATACAATCGTGCAATAACAACTCACAGTTTAAACGAAATATAACGCGCTATTAAAATTTGGAAATTTGGTAAATTTATGGTATATGAAGAACGATATAGATTTTTAAAGTAGAGATTTCAAGCCACATGTTGAAGTGCATAACGCAAATCTTTGATTTGAAGAAAATTATAGTTTCTGAATTTATTTTTCTTCAGATTTCCATCGAAGAAAAGTTGATCAAAATAATTTGATTACTTAGAGGATAAATCTTAAAAATTTTTAATCATTATGTATACGTCGTATAAAAATTCTTTCTAGAATATCTTTGAAAACTTACTTTTACTTATTCTAGTAGAAGCACAGAATTTAGTTATAAGTAGCAAATTCATGTCAAGATCAAGGCAGATTTTTTCGTTCAATGATTGCCAGTTTATAGTATGAATTCCAAAACAACTTCTGATCGATCGTTCAGATTACTGATTACAGTTTTGCTGATTTTCTAACATGTTTATTGCTTAAGTTTTTTATTAGGCTTAGCAATTTTACAACATCTTTAATAGGCTCTCAAAGCTATCAAATTTTTTTCTCCAAAAACAAATCTTCTCAAACATTAAAAAACAGATGAATATATACAAAAGAAAAAGAAAGAAAGAATGTGTGAGCGTAATGAGCTGACAGACAGAAGAATAAGGGAAAATGAATGTCATGAGTAAAGGAATGTCATGCGTCAGATATGACTTATGTCAGCTGTTCCGTTTTTAGGAGATGATTTAAGATCACAACGAAGAGATTATCTGAAAAATTTGAGATTATTAAATTCTAGTAAATCTAATTTATTATTGTAGATGTCGGGCTAAGTTATACAAACAATTACTTGATTGAGATCATTTTAGAACATTAATTTCTAAATGCAAATTGTTTGATATGAAATTTATTGTTATCTCAATTCCGATGATGTCTTTTTTGCGTGCTTTAGGCTCATGATTTTAATTTTGATTGAGAGACATAATCAAACATACACGTCGATAAAAAAATTTCTGCGGTGACGAGATTATTGATCGTCACGTCGAACCTCTTAAAAACTTATCAGAGTCGATTATCGTCTTCAACAGTGTCATTCGACAAGAAGAATCAGGAAAAATCTGCCTCATACGGATTAAGGAAATGGTGTAATTTATTGTCTAGTAACAGCCCACAAAATGTGTCTTAAATAACATCTTTTAGGTAGTTAACACTATTTTTTGTCCATTTTTCAACATTATAACTGGGAACGTATTAATGCCTAAAAGAGACATTTCTTAATGGCCAAGAAACAGGCTGAAAACAGTCATAACAGTGACTATTTGAGGGCCATTTCTGCGTAATTATAGGCTGTTTATAGCCGAGGATCCGATTGTTCACTATGACTAATCTCTTCTGACTATTACTATGAAATAAATGACTTTTCAAATTTTTGAATATTTTCAGTTCCATAGGTATGATCGAGGTACCTAGGTACACTCAGAGTTGCAAAATAAGCAAAAAAAATAACGTATTCTGTTAAAAATCTTTTTTTCCGCTCTCAGCAGCGGCATAGATTTTAGGGCTCCGTCACAACTAGGGGTATGACAGTTCCATATCAACTTCTATCATAGGAACTGTTGAAAAGTTCTTTTGAAAGGAGCTGATATGTTCGAGCAGCTCACTAGTCGTCTAGACAAAGTTTAAACGTCCCGAATGTTCATTAGACGTTCATATCAGCGAAGTCCTGCAATCATAAATAGAAGCATGTAAAATGGTCAATTTTTTATTCCTCAGATAAGTATGGTTAAAAAGTAAAATAAAAGAAGTATGATCTTTGTAAGAAAAGCAGACTAAAGAAAAGATCAAAGTTTATCTTTTAGAAACATTGAATATTTCAAGTTTTTAGCTGAGAGAGAAGACCGTGTTTTTCGAGCAACATAGCCTGCGATTGAGAATGCGCTCTCACTGGGGACTGAGGTTGCGGGTATAGGACCGAATCGGCGTGCCATCTGGTTTAATATTGGAAGTAAAGTTGAATGTTTTCTCCAGAATGGCGCAAATGTATGACCGTTCTTCTCCAGCGCTTCGAGTTGAGCAAGCTCTTGCTTCAGCGTGAAGGCTTTAGCAGTAGTCGTTGAAAAAATTTTTAAAATTTCAAAAGAGCTGTTCAAACATATCAGCTCCTTTCAAAAGAACTGTTCAACAGTTCTTTCGCTCAAATGAGCTGAACTTATGCGCTGGAACTGTTACAGGTCTAGTCACAAAGTAAGTCAGAACAGTGTTTCTGTGCGTTTAACAGGAGCGACGAATCACACATCTCTCGGTATAATTATTTTTGTTCAGATTGATGTGGTGTCGTTGACCATACTTCTGCTTGTTAATACTTTCTTATTCTATAGTTGCATCTTTTTTTTGCAAAACTGTTTTGTGTCATTTATAGTTTTTAGAAAACAATAATGAAAGTGCAGTTTAAACTGTGAGATATAGCTTATTCATTTTTGGATAGCATTTATATGATATATTAACTGAAAACTTTGAATATGGTGGTGTTCTCTGTACTATTAGAGTTTTTATTGTCAAAATCTAAAATTTCGTTGAAAATAATTCTGAAGTTTTTATCGTTTATTTAATTCATTTTTTTGAACATAAAGTAGGTCTTATGGGATAGTATATAATGTCCGTTATCAAGTCTCTCCAAGTATACATCTTCAACTTGTTGACAAATATTGTCACAGCTGGAAATCTTAATCATCGTTCATTCTTTTTGTTTTTGCAAACACGATGATCATCAGTCAATAAGTCAAGAAAAACAAGACGATCATATTAAATAAACTTGTGACAATTCTTTTCGTCATCAAAAATATCAAAATCATGTTGACTACATTTAATATACTTCTAGAAGAAAATATAACATAACAGCTCTAAGAAAAATTCATTTCTGTTTTTTACAGTAGCGTCGCACACAGTCAACTCCCTTAGGCGTCTATAGGTAATAACGAATGCCAAATATCTCATTATTTATTAATCAAATAGAACCTTTTTTTTTCTGTCTATACCTAGGTGTATACGTTTTGAAGAGCTAGACAAAAGTTACAATATTGTCAGTATATGAAACATGTCAGTGGGATAGTAAAAAATGGTACTAAAAGTTTAGATAACGATATGTCCCTCCTCTCATCTTTCCATCATTCTTTTTTTTGTGTTAAATCTGTTTAGAACGAATGTACGGGAATATTGACGGTTCCAGTTCGTTAAATAAAATTTGAAAGTGAATGAATAAACGTTAGTCAAATGAGTAATCATATTTCGATAATAATATTGATAGCGAAAAGATTAATGACAAATATTATTTTTTTATGAAAAAATAAGCACAAATAATTATGATTATTAAACATGTTTTTGTAAATAAATATAACTCTAACTGTTGACAGAAACATCAATTATTTGTCATTATTTAACCTGTACATAAGAAATGATTAGTAAAGAAAAAAAATAATTTTAGATAGTGAAGAAAAAAAATAATAATTTTCTTACGTGTTATTTCTTTTTTTCTTCTTCTCTTTGTTGTTAATCGGATAATTTTTATATTTTATTTCCCCGATATGATTTTATGATCATTTTAGACATTTATACAGATAAATCTCACGAGATACTATTCAGACTAATATAAGATTTTTGACATTTATCTTTGTAAATCAGAAAATGCCAAATAATAAGTTCCTATTTAAATGACGATATGTATGAGAATGATGGTGGATGTTCCAAGTAATAAAGTATTTGTAATCAATGATATGTTGATTAAGACTTTACCATCTATCTAATGTTGCAGGTTGCTAGATATAAGTGAAATATTTAAATCATAATTTGTTATGTTGAACACAGTAAAAAAATCAATATTGATGAGTCTATAAATCATCATTATATTATCATATCTGCACAGGTGATGATGAGACATGATTGACATTACCCCGACATGTATATATATATATATATATATATTGTATATATCTATATACGTATGAAGAGAGAAATAACATAAAAAACGTTTAGTCACCGTGGCCGTTATACACAGCGATCAATACATCTACATATCATTAAATAACTTATAAACAAGTTTCACTTATATATGTACTGATATTTTATTATTGTTCAAACCCGTAAGTACATTACAGAATTGTTTATTATTAATTTTGAGAAAAAGGGAATATATTTGACCTATAAGATATATCTACATACATATTATGTATAACTATTATATGTGTGAATTCATGTTTATTTTTATCTAAGAAATTAATCGATTAGTTAGTATAGTTATTTTTCTTGTCATATTAATTTGTTTTTGTATCTATTTACAGACTTTGTTTTTACGTGTAGTATGCATGCATAAGTGGACAATGGATGATGATAATATAAAAATGTTCAGATTTTTTTTTAAAAATAAGTGGTGGTTATATAGTTGTGACCGTAAAATAAGATACTCATGTGATATAGTCATTAGAAAAATATGATTCCAGTCAAAGAGTAACAATCATCTTCCCATAATGTTTGCATGCATCTTTGAAATATAAATATCATGTGAAGTAAAATAAAGAGAGATGAGCACAGTAACATATAAGAAAAATGATACTGAATATAAACATATATGAAAAATTGATGTGTGGTGATTTACACTTAGTTTAAAAAATGTTTGATTAAAATCTGTGTTGAATGACACGTAGCAAAAAAAACAAATTTCAACAAGAATTTGGATAATAGTGACAAGTGTTAGAAGAAAATGGTTTCGACTTGACCATCAGCATTGTTCACTTTTGATTAGATTTAGAGTGCATTGATGGGCCGGCAGCACAGCAATTGCCTGTCCTAGGAAAAAAATTTTAACTTCTTAACTTTCCTTTAACTTAAATAAGTTTCCCTCCCAGTGTCATGCAATGGACAAGGCCCGAAATATTCTCCGCGGTCCGCCCATGTTAGAGTGTCTTGATCGTTGAGCAGAGCATTTTTCAACGGATGATGTAACTCACAGATAATATCAAAGAACACGTCTATCCGCTCGTATTTTGAGATATATAAATTAGAAAATAAGATTGTGCGATTCATGATGTGATATCTTAATCGAAACTCTAAATGCTACTTAGAATTGATGATTCATTCATAGAACGTTTTTAGGTTTCTAAGTAGATGTTTTATCCAAGTTTTTCATATTACTTATCTTACAAAGTAGTAGACGTTCAAGTGGCACATTAACAATGAATACAGTCGCACCCATCGCCACAGAAACATTCAATTGATAAACTACAGCATCTCCGTCATACATCACAGTCGACTACTTAGTGGAACTGTTTTTGAAGTTTATAGTCATTAAGAATAAATCTTAAATTTCCATTTTTCTATTCAAAGCTTTAATATTTATTCGTCTATAAAAATAAATTTTTCTTCTCTTGTGTTGTTGATATTATTCTTGGACAAAGGGCGATCGTTACTCATCTTAAATTTTATATATTAAATATGCAATGTACATACTTTTGATGATTAAACCAAGAAAAAAAGTGAAATCACTCTACACTCGATTCAATTAAACTACTATTTAAAATCAAGTGAGACTAATGATAACTATTTAGAAGATATTTACAAAAATTTGATACTTCGGAGTAAAATTTCTTGTTTTTTTGGCATCAACATGCCGATGTATCTGATTAATATGAGATACAAGGTGTTTATTTCTTAAATTACATTTGTCAGGGTGAACAACCATCGTTCTAAATTTTAGTTTTTTGTAACTTAAATGTAAACAAGTCGATTGTATTATCAACGAGTATACATAGGGATATTGTCCATAATTTCATCTGGTGTCTTCATCCAATTTGATCGGATGTCTTAAGTAATGCTACTGCTCATAGTTAGAATAGATATGTCTGGTACAATTAATACAAAATATCATTGCAAAATCAACTGCAGATATTAAAATGTCATCGTATTTTCAACTCATATCTTCGATAATAAAATTGCCAATCATGTTCCGAATGAAAAGAAAATGTATTGTTCCAGTGTTGAAAGTTATATTGAAACAGAATTATGACGAATCTTTGTTGTGTAGTTGTTCGGATTCAAGGCTATTTATCTTTCTTTCTACTATTTTTATCATTAAATATTATCTTAGATATATCCTCGAATAAACTTCAAAGTAGATAAATGTTTTAATAATGTTCAATATACAATATATAAGATGTCGCATGATTCTCGTAAAGTTTAAGAATGTTTCAACTGAGGCTATGTTCTGAATTTTGGATACGCATTTTGAATATAAAATTGTTCGTTGATCATTTTCACTAACCACTTTAGTTGGAAAAGAGAAAAAAAAAGAAAAGTGCTACCTACCCATTAAAAGATATTGATGAATAAAAAATTCTTTTTCCAGATTTTCATTGGTCTTGAAGCGATAAATGTGGAAAAAGAAACAAATCATTATCTTTCTTATTTCTTAAATGGTAGCAGTATTATATTCGATATCTCTATTGTAAAAAATAGAAAAAGCAAGAAGACGTATCTATATCTCTATATTCTTCATCTAATCAAATAATAAGTAATAATCAATAGCAGCTGCAAACAATATAAACTAATGAAATTAAACATGGTATCGGACGAAAATTTTAATCCGCTCAGGTAAGCTTGTTTATTATTAACTGTACTCATTTTCTGATGATTAAATAGAAAAATCTTCTGTAATCGTGATTCTATGAATTCGTTTCTTGATTTTTATTATAAAATGTCTTCTCTACCATTCAGAATAAAACATATTGCTTCATAGATATCTTCATTGATAAGTCTAAGTAATTAAACTAGTTTTCTAAGCTGTAAAGTTTGAAAATGAACGATAAGTACGATTTATGAGTTATACGAGCATTAGAGAAGATTTACATGTTTTTAGGAAATCAGACAATATATAGATATGTATACACATGAGGTGAGATAGGCTTTTAAATTTTGAATCATCATTCATTTGAAAAACAACAAAATATTATTATATATATAATTATTATATACTATAATATTATTTCATTGTCAGACTTAGAGACTCTGGTTTACTCCAATGTATTCTACAACTGGAGAATATATAGTAGAATTCAATTTGATGTTATGTGAATACGATATCAAAAAAATCAATGTTTAAAAATGAATAGTTTTTATGTGAATTGAATGTTTTCTTCTGCATCAAGGCCACTTTTCCTAGATTATGCCGATTTGTTAAGCTGTTTATTCGTTTGATTTCCAAACTCAAGCTGAGATGTTTCTTAATCAATTCAAATTTTCGAGTATGTCACTAGTGATATAATTATTTCCTTTACATATGTTTAACAAACGTAAGGATAACTATTGTCTATCGTTCTATTATATTATATTAGATTAATAGAATAAAATTCTCTTAATTAAGTTACAAATAGTTGATCAATTATATTCTTTTGGTTTCAAATAAATGAATATTGTTGATTTCTATTGATCATTTCACACCTTATCTTTTAAAGTACTTCAACTGACGCCTCTATTACAATCGTCTGAGTAATACATATATGTAACTGTTGAAGTTGATAAATAATACATATGTTACATTGCAATGTGTTGATAATTATGACACTTGTTATTTTCTACTGTATATGCCTTTTTCATAAACTGAACATCATATTTTTATCTGCTTTTGTTTAGTCATCAAATGGTTACAACAACAACAACGAACAAAAAAAAATCACTAAATGAGCAACCACTTGATTTAAGTTGTAAAAAACCATTTACAATTGAATATTTATCATTGAATAGTAAAAAATCGAAACAACAACCATCTTCTAACGCATTAATCTCAAATTGTTATCCAACATATCAACCATTATTACCTCATTCGTTTTCTAATCATTCCGTTTTTGGTCTGACAAATGTTGCTCGATATTCATTACCGTTGACTCCAGTAGCAAAACCACCATTGACACCTGTGGAAAATTTCTACCCACTCACATATCATCATTATCATCCATATCGTTCTTATCTACCATCAACCACGTATAATTCAATTCCTCTATCTTCAACTAATCGATCATTGAAACGTTCAAGAGAAGAATTAGATGACAATCCCAAAGAGACAAATACTTTGACTATATTATCAGATTTAGCTGTAACATCAAAATTATTAACAATTCAAAAACAACAAGAAGATCATAAACAAACACAAAAACATATCTTACTCGGTGCGCGAATACCTAATGTAAGAAAGGCATGTGATCCATTAAGAGATAAAATTTCATTTTTTTCTTCGTTTTTAGACAGAATTCGTAGTAGTAAATGGCGGTCATGGTATTAGAAATCCACTTTTTGATTGTGTTAGTGAAGAAATACAAATAAAATATGGTATGTAAAATATAAAGGATATTTAATATAAGAATATTTAGTGGATACATCCTACGTTGTGTGAGAGATAAATAAGTCTCAGTTCGGACTTTCGAAAATTTCTCATGAACTTAGACTAGAGTTGGACTTGAAAGTTAATCAAATTTAGATTAAGACATCAAATAGTACTTAGAAAATGAAGAAACAAAAAAATTAAAAACTATGGAGGCTTGAAAAAACAGACTGTAAGAAAAATCATAGTCTTCCTATAGAAAGTTGGGAACTTGAGTGAACTAAAACTATTGATAGAGGATTAAAAATGAATTGAAATGTGAATCTAATTACAGTTAGTCTTGGCATGTACCAGTTGAAAACTGGTGTTAGGGCTTCTACGAGAATTGTTCTAAGTTTCCTGTAAAGAATTACATAGAGTCGCAGAACGTCTCATTTTGTAGAGAAATGGTTTGCTCTTGAAAACCCAGTTGTGAAAAAAGATTTGAAGTTATTTCTGACAGTAAATGCACTAAAGTTAGATGTTCAAACAGTTTTTTCTTCTAACTTTAGTACATTTTAGAATGCTCGTATTTGTATTACAGATAACTTTGAAATTTTTCTACTTATAGGGATCTAATCCAAACATTTCTCAACAAAATGAGGTGTTCCGCAACTTTGAGTAATTCTTTATACGAGACTTACAATAATTTTCATGGAAGCTCTAACACCGGTTTTCAACTGGTGCATGCCTAAGTTAGACATGGATTTGACATGTATGTCATCCCTGAGGAAGTAGCAGTAAACTATTTAGCTGTTATACATGTATACATATTTAATAAGGCAAGATCAAGTCGGATTGTATATCTCTGAACAATAGTTACACGCTAATTACTTTTCTTAATTTTGTTTGAAGCATCAACTACCGATGGTGAAAAATTCATTTGTCGTCTATGTTTTAAAACATTCAAATTACAACGACTATTGAATCGTCATTTAAAAAATCATAGTCAATTGAAACGTTATTTGTGCACATTTTGTACTAAAGGATTTAATGATACATTTGATTTAAAACGACATACTCGAACACATACAGGTCATTAACATTGACGACTATTCAAAATTCTTATGATTAAACGTGCTGTTATATTTATCTAGGTATTCGTCCATTTAAATGTGAGCAGTGTGAAAAAGGGTTTACACAACGTTGTAGTTTAGAATCGCATCAACGAAAAGTTCATGGATTTGCATTAGATTATGGTTATAAAACACGACGAAATAAATTGTATGTTTGTGAAGATTGCGGTGAAACAAGTGAAAATCCTAACAAACATTATGATCATATTCGAGTATATCATCCTTATTCACCATTAATTCATCGTCACTATGATAAAAGACAATTCAGATTAAAAAACAATTCATTAACTTATTCCTTAACATCGTCAGAAAAAACTATTATTTTAACATCATCCTCATCATCTCTGGCGTCACCATCGACCATCTGAACAAAAAGCACAAAATTCATACTTCAGAGATATTGACAACTTTTTCAATATTAAAAAACGACTGATATGTGTTACAATTTGTATTTTGTTATATGTATTTTTTCATTACTGATCACCTTAAAAGGTATAGAAAATTTTTTTTCTATTTTCACTCTCGACATGAAAACAATCTGTTTTAAATGCGAATTCTTTGCAGTTCATCTCTGACAGATTAACAGCTACTTAAATCAGACTCTAACTGAGGAAAGATTGATTTTCTTTACGTTATAATTAACACAACGTATTTGCTGACAGAATTTACTGTTGCTGAAAAACAAACGGCTCGCACATAATATCACGAGTAGTTTAAAAATGTCACTCATTTAGTTAACCCAGGTTAAACTGTGCTCACAATCTTCTTGAGATTCCACTACCTTTGTACAGATAGCCGCAAGAAAATCTATAGTGTGATAGACTGCTGCTAATATAATGCTGCTAGATTAAGTGAGATGCAGACAAATATCAAAATGTTTTTTATTTAGACACCGTCTTGTAATTTTAAAAGTACATTAGATTGATCAGTAAAAAAACCCAATCTTGAGGAGGCTGTGCCAGTTTCATGCAAATGGTATAAAAAATCCAAAATTTTTAATAGTTCATGCAAAATGATAATAATAAAATAATTTGAGTCAATTGTTTCTTGATGTTGTACGAATTCGTTGTCCAATTTCATCTAATTTGTTATGTAGTTCCATTTCATAATTTTTTGCTAAGTCAAGTAATATATTTCCACATTTCTGTTGTAAATTATGTATCGATTCATCAGTTAAATGAAAATCGTCTAACATTGTATTAACTTTTGAGTGAAGTTCTTGATTATTACTTGTACTACTGCTCATAGTTTTGTTCTCAGAAATAAATCGTTTTTTCAAAAACAGCTTTTGCGCTGATCACAACTGGTTGTTTTTTTTCTGAGACGAACGTGTCTAATCTCTTGCACGTATACAGAATTTGTGTTTTATTTCTCATATACTTTGTAATGTATATCGTATGAAACGTAGAAGACAAACACTTGAAAAGCCTTCATCTTTGCTACAGCAAACAAAAAATGTACATTATACATTGTATAGGCAATTTGACTTGCCGCTGTGTAATTTTAAATATTTTTTAAACTTTTTTTGATGTTCTAAGACAAAATTGCTTTCTCCTATAAATCAGAAACCTCCAGATGCAGAAACTATATGGGAAAATACTAGTTTAAAAATCACGTCACTATTAAGTGTGAGTTGTTAAGCGTTGTCAAGTAAATTCTATACTTTGTTGTTGAATATACGAAAAAGAGTAATCGAGCTAAATTTATTATGATGTTATTTATTTGATACTCCTGAGTTGTAAGACACTGGCTAAATATAGGCAAAGTTTTTCGAGAAAAACGTTCAAACGCAATTCGAATTATTCAACAACAAGTACAATCGATTCATTATCAGTATTTTTTAACACACACTTAGAATATAATGAGTAAGTATTGATAGAATTTACGAATATAAAGAGGATATTTCATTATTTTTCTATAGTAAGTATTCAACAAATCGGGAAAGACACAGATTCAATGATACTACTTCTATTTGTCTATCAAATGATTGTTCCTTAACATCAGTGACTGACGATGATCAGCGATCGACATTTTCAAGACAATCTGACGAAGAAAACAAAGAGTGTACAAAGTACAGCATTAAAAAATTTTGTCACTTAATTATAAAACATCTAACACATGAAGTGAAGCGTTATGTTTATGGCAAAGTTGATCGATCACAAATCCATTCTAGTATGTTATGCTTGTTAGAATTATTTTCACCACATGTGATACAAAAGATAGCAATTATTTTTAGTTTGAACAAGAAAAAATTACCGTAGCTTATATCTGCTATCCAGTACCTATTACATAATATCTACTACCTATGGGTCTCTAACACTTGAGTACAAGAGTACAGGTGTTTGAGTAAGGATGTTTTTTTTCCAGAAAAAAAGTTTCATTAACTCTTTAAGGTCACATTTTTTTCCATTCTCCTTCTTTGATTATAAGATTATAGCTGTTTAAATTCCTGTAGACATCTGAGTATACTTTTGCAGTTGCGAATGCCTCAACTTAAAGAGTGTGTATCTTATTGAATACAAATAGTTACGGGAAAACTTATTGTATCAAATATGAAATCGAAAAATTTTGAACTGTAATATTTTAAACAGGCAAAACAAAGTCCTGCAACTCTACTCGATAAAAATTTTAGTAGTGTTCACCCCTTAATTTGACAGATGTCATTTATATTACGGTATAACATCCTGCTGCACTAGGATCCTTGAGTACTATGATGCTGAGAGGTGTTCATTAAATATGTCATAAGATGAAAAGCTTTTTGCTTTTTATATTTGATTCAGATGTATGCACATATCCCCCTGCAAAAAATAGTTTCAGTCGCGTTTGTGAATTTATTATGAATATACAAATGCATTGTAGAAAAATAATTATATATTCTGGTAGCGGTTGAAATTCTCTATTAATCTCTACTTTCCGTGCCTGGACTTGAAATTGTTTGCTAACAAATATTTTGAATATTATTAATGTATCCCATCTATCACACTCCTAGGAACTGCATTTTATTTCTCTTCAACTAAGTTTGGTATGTCTTTTTGAGAATTTGAATGATGTTTCAGTGTATAATGCCAACGCGCACATTCTCAGTAGCACTAGGACTCTCACAATTGGATAATTATCCATATAGGCTTATGATTCAACTAATGAATCATGCAAAATGTTTTTAAACAAATACCCAGTTCCAAAATATCTGTCACTAGGAATGTGAAGCTCTAATTTGTTTTTCATTTAAAAGCGCACGTCAAACCGTACAAAAAGGAATGTGAATGTTTAGGATTGAATGTTTAAGAAAGGTTGGGCAAATTTTTAAATTTGACCGTATAAAAAATGTTTGGCAAAATGCAGATAAACAGAATTGTTACAACAAATTCGTTGTTTTGAACTTTTTTGATTGAATTTCAATATTTTCGGGGCATAGTGTATATGAATGTGTAGATCGCTGTCAATTTTTCACATCATAGAAAAATATTTGACGTTGGATGTATGTGGTGAGATTTTCGGACTTGTGCAATTCCTGGGAATGTGATAGGTGGGATACATTAATAATGTTCAAAATATTTGTTAGCAAACAATTTCCAGTCCAGGCAGGGAAAGCAGAGACTAATAAAGAATTTCAACCGCTACCAGAATATATAATTATTTTTCTACAATGCATTTGTATATTCATAATAAATTCACAAACACGACTGAAACTATTTTTTTTCAGGCGGATATTTATATAAGTTCTGTACCCCACCATACCATTTGAAATTAGGTGATGGATTCGTAATAATTACAATTTTCATGCAGTATCCTTCACTGTAATGAGATATTCTCATTTTTTCTTTTCTTTATGATTATAGTAACAAACAACGTCAACAGTATGAAGTTTCGTGAAACAAAATCCGGTACCAGCACTCATTGTTTAATGAACGAAAATGCTTCGAGATTGCCTGTCGAGTTGAGTTTATGGGATCCTTCCACTCCTGAGTAACTATTTCCTCACCGTTTTTCTAGCAGATTATTCATATGTCGTCTTATTTAGACGAAAAAGTAGTAAGGAAAGTGAGTTTTCTGGTATTGAAGTACTTGACGATCCGGTTCGATTTCTGTCTGAGGATGATGATCTGGGAAAAAAGCAATCAGAAACAAGTACAATGAGTTTGCTATTACCAAGGGACATATTTCGGACAACTATCGATAGACAATATTCACCAAGACAATCGATTAAATCACAGAAAACAGGTGTAATTATTTTAGAACAAAGTCTCCCATTTCCATCTCCAAATACGTCTCCAACAGGTTCGATTAAACCTTTTCAACATAGAAAATTGACTGACAAATCTGAATTTACATTAACGCCGCCTCTCGTATCTAGTCATAAAAGGTCGATGCTAACTAATCAAAGTTTTGGAATAAATTCGCCTCTAATCGGTATGCATGAGACAATCCAATTCACACATAGAAATCTAATTTCTGGTGATGATAAAATGAGATACACGATTAAAACTGATCTAACAACTGCTTCGACAACACCACGACTGACGAATATTCCAGGACTTTCAAGGAGACTATCTAACCTAGATAAGAGGCCTAGTACACTGGCGCCAGATTTTGTGCAACAATCGATATTTTCAAATTCGTCAAGTATCGGTTAGTGGCATAGTGGACATTTTTCACCAGAAATGTGCACATCATATTTTTTTATTATCGAAGATGATCGTTTCTGACTTCGAATGACTCTCTATACTTGACAATAGCTTATCTCCACAAGAAAAATAATTTAATCTGAAAACTTCTGGTTTTTCATTAAAAATGCCCGGAAGGAAGGAACTCAACTACTGCTAAAATTTTTTGACGAGAAAACCTAGCTCAGAAAATGCTTGAAAACTTTCATATCTTTCATATCTATTTTCCAGTGTAAGTTTTCGTCGCTTCCAATCTGTGTATGTGAAAAGGTAGCGAAGATTTCGAAGTATATTAGTCAATATAAAAGGTTAAACTACGAACATTTTCATTGCTAAATATCCACTTACGTGCCCATAGTATATAAATCGACAGGAGAGTAGAAAATTCGTCTATGGTAGTCACTTAGATAAAACGAGGTTTTTTTATTTGTTAGCTCAACAAATACCGAATGACAGTCAGACGGCTACAGTTCATAGTTTTCCTCAACAAAAAATTAGAACAACTCAAGGTATTGACCAAAAAAGTTTAGAAAAAACACCCGATTTCCGATCGAGTAAAATCAAACACATCAGCCGAACTAGACAAAGTTCATCTGATAAAAATTCTGAAATATCATCAAGAAAGCATTCATTTATAGTTACGGTACGATAATTTAACTTAATACCTTCTTTATCTATTAATATGTTTGCTACTCTAATTTACAGTATTGTCAGTCATGTATTAGAATAACGTGCACTCTTGTACATTTTTTTTAATGTTTTTAGAACAAAGATTCATTATGGAAGAAGTATACGTTGCATGGCATATTGAAAATGGCCGATCGTAGAATAGTCGACGATCAAACACATATGAAATATCACATGTTTATGAGTGGTAAAATGAAAAAAGGTTCAATACTAGAGTATAACGATGACGTAAATAAAAAATTTATTGATAAAGAATCACATGAAAATATAGCGAGTATCGATTATCGAGATGTTAGACGAGATTATAAACGTGTATTACAAACAATTGGTATGAGAAAAGTTGCACAACACACAAATGATATTGATGATCAGATGAAAATAAGTACAAGTTCAGAATCAATAGAACGATCCACTGTACAATCAACAATCACTTCAACTTCAGCATTAACATCCGTTAATAATATAAAAACAAAACAAAAGCGTCAGAAACAACAACTACCAAAAAGAGATGAAGACAAATTGAAGATTAAACGAAAAACAAGACAAAAAATTTCACAACCAATTGTTCTTAACATGACTCCCGGTAGATTGTCAACATTTGATTATAAAAATGGTCCGTTGTTAACATCAATCAGCTATACTAATGATGATCAGTGTTTAACCATTTTCAAAACTGCTCCAACATCCACAGATGATATGGTCATACAAAAAAGAACAAAATCGATTAGAGATACAGTATCCGATGTACCCGATTTAGACTTTTCTCCAGCGTCAACAGCGTCCGAAGAAAGTTACGATGCTGATAAACAATTTTTTCTTAAAAAATTGTATTTTACTCAAATGTAAATTTAGTTTTCGGATATGATGTCATCATTCACATGCACAGAGATAATCTTAGTTCTTAATTAAAATCGAGCACGAATAAGGATATATTGTTATTTTTTTTACTCTTCTCCTTCTTTTCTGAAAAACTTTTCTAGACTTGAACATATTTTAACAGGCGGTTCGCCAGTCCATCAAGAAATCAAGTCACGAGTGAAAAATTGACATATACTTTTTATTTTATATTTGGATTCTGCTATCAAAATTGGGGTTATGAAAAATATGAAAAAACTTTCTTACTTATTCTGGCGGAGTTATAGAATTTACAACATGAGCACCATCGTCGATTTGCGAAAAGTAGCCATCTCAGATATTTTGACTATAACTTAGTCATTTTTTGTTCGTTTTGTTCGAGCAACATCGCATTCGGAAGCCTGATAAAAAGTGAACAAAATCACATAGTTATTTCTAATTTTTCTGAAGTAGGAAGCGACTGTTTAAAACCCACATCATTTGGAGAACTGAGATTTTGAAGAGTCAAAATTTTCGAGAAAATGCCAGTTTTGGTCCTCCAAACAGGATTTCGCTAACAATTCGAAGGTCACATGCGATAGAGAATTCAATTTTCTACAAACTGAGCGCAAAAACTTTATCTTAAAAGTACTGTAAAAGTTTCAAAACTTGAAAACAAAGTGGCAGACCAACCGCGAGTTTTTAGTTTCTTGAGATTTTAGTCATCAAAAATTCGCTTAAGAACCAAAAGAAGATGATGATGATATTTGGAATCAGCGTCAAAAACTGCATCAGATGATGCGCCTTTGAGATCTTTTAGAGAAATGAAAAACTTTGTCAAAATTTCATAAAACATAAAAAACAGAAAAAATCGAAAAAATGCTCAAAGTTTTCATTTCTCTAAAAGATCTCAAAGGCGCATCATCTGATGCAGTTTTTGACGCTGATTCCAAATATCATCTTCTTTTGGTTCTTAAGTGAAGTTTTATTAACTAAAATCTCAAGAAACTGAAGTGGCATTTTCTCGAAAATTTTGGCTCTTCAAAATCTCAGTTCTCCAATTGATGTGGGTTTTAAACAGTCGCTTCCTACTTCAGAAAAATTAGAAATAACTATGTGATTTTGTTCACTTTTTATCAGGCTTCCGAATGCGATGTTGCTCGAACAAAACGGACAAAAAATGATGGAGTTATAGTCAAAATATCTGAGATGGCTACTTTTCGCAAATCGACGATGGTGCTCATGTTGTAAATTCTATAACTCCGCCAGAATAAGTAAGTTTTTTCATATTTTTCATAACCCCAATTTTGATAGCAGAATCCAAATATAAAATAAAAAGTATATGTCAATTTTTCACTCGTTACCGGTCTTTGTAAGATACTCGACCGACTGGCGAAGTCTCTCTTAAGTATTACCTATAATACTCAAAAGACTAATAAAACAGAAATAAAACAGAACATATCCAGTCTTACTTAAGTAAGAATCTACATTTAGCTCTTTTCTTCCATGAAAAGGTGGCTTAAGAACAACATTGCAATTACAATAAACAAAGATATTTACCTAAAGCACGTCTGAATGATCGAACAGAGAAGACATCGATTATCTCTCTAGGTAGAGCATTCCATTGGAGCGCAGTTCGAGGCAGAAGAGATGACCCTGTAGTTTTTCGTTTAAATTTTGGTATCTGCCAAAGACATTTATTTGAAACTCGTGCTGAGATTCTAGTAGTCAATGGTTTTATCAATGAAAATGAAGCTAGTGCAGTTCGACCGGTAATAATCTTATGAAAAAACATTAATCTAAAGTATTTCCTCCGATTCTCTAAATCTGGTAGTTTAAGTTTATTAATAAGTACAGAACTATTCGTAGAGAAGTTAGTTATTAACGATCATTCGTGCAGCTAGCTCATGTACAGATGCTAGTAGACCTAAGTGCGGCTTAAAATTGTTGTCAAAAACAATGCAGCAATAGTCCAATACTAGTAATATACACATTTTGTAAATATGAAGACGTATGAACTCTGGCGCACACCTGACAACTCTGTTCATCGCTCCTAGCATTGGTCTACATCTTTACTGATATTTTCTAGATGATACTTCCAGATCAAATCTGGTGAAAGATACACGCCTAACAATTTAATGTTTTTATCTAATAAAAGCGGTTTCTCAGAAACATAAAGTGGAGGATATTAATCAGGAGGTTTAACACTGGAAAATGGCATATAAAAACATTTTTCTGTATTTAAATTGATCTCATTTTTTACACGCCAATCTGAAATGATATCTAAAACTTTTGAACTTCTGAGAGATCGTTAAAATTTTGAAGAGGAATTAAACCAAAAACATCGTCAGCAAAAAGCGATGCTGTCACTGTGGAAAGAAATTTCTCATTCAAATAGTGTATGAAAAATTACGAAAAGTAAAGGGCCAAGGACAATCCCTTGGGGCACGCCAGATGTTACTTTTGCTGCTTCAGATTTTTTATTATTGATTACTACCATTTGTTCTCTATCCGATAAATACGAGTGAAACAATTCAAACAGACTACCGGTCACTTGTGTTCTACTTAACTTTTTTAATAATACTCAATGACTAATACTCTATCAAATGCCTTAGCAAAAGCAAACGCAACTCCTAATATTAGCATATGCTACCCTTTTTTCTTCTAAAATCTTTATTAGTTGAATTGTAACATGCAATAGCGCAGCAGCTGTGAATGAATTAGCTCGAAAACCAAATTGCGTTGATATGAAAAAACTAATATTATTTAAATGTTTGACTAGAGATCTATGTACCAATAATTCAAAAATCTTACTTATGTTTGATAGTAAAGAAATTGGTCTGTAATTAGAACATTGACTACGTGATCCTTTCTTTTGTATAGCTCTTATTAAGGCTTTCTTCCATGTTTTCGGAAAACACTCCTTTTTTAATTGAAGAATGACATAAATGGTGGAGTTGAGGTGAGATCACGTCAGAACAGAGCTTCAAAAATTTAATATGAATACCGTCAATTCCTACAGAGTTTTTATTTTTTAATTCTTTGATCATACTGTTAACGTCAGAGACAGTAAATGAAACAGAATATAAATGACGCTTCGTGCTGTTCTGTAAGTCATTATTAGTAGTAAAGATGTTAGTAGTTGATGGAGAAGGTGATTAATAACAACTAGCAAAAAACTTTGAAAACATTTCTGCTTTCTCACTATCTGTCCACGCATGAACGGTAGCATTTTCCAATCAACTAGGATAATCCGCAAAACTCTTTCTAAGTCTATTTAAACTAGTCCAAAACTTTTTAGAGTCAGAGAACTGTGATTTAATTTTATTGAAATGGCAGTGTTTACCTTTGCGTAGTGCATTTAGGACTTTATTTCTAATCTTTTTATATTCAATAGTATTTTTTAATGGCTGTGCACATTTCAACTTCTGAAACTTTTTATTCTTTTCTTTAATTAATTTTTTAGTTGTCTTGGAAGGACGAAATGTAGATTTGCTTTGTGTACAAACCTTTTTCAAAGGTACACAAACTGAAATGCATTTCGAAAAATGGTTTAAAAGTGTGTCTGTCATTTCATCAACGCCATTAGAAAGATAAAATTTATTATCAATTCCAGAGAGCATTCTACGCAAAGAAATTATGTCACAGTTCTCGTAGTCTAAGACAAATTTATCCTCTTTTTGTTTATTTTCAACATTAAAGTTGAATTCAGCATCCAATATAAAATGCGGCGATTTCCCTAACTCAGGTTTTGTTTTTGTAATTGGCTTTTTCCATTCAGCAGGATAAAAAATGTTATCAATTCTGTGTTTTTGTGGGTTGTTGAAATATCAAAAGCACGAACTAAGGAAAATGATTGAAGAATTTGTTTAAGACGCGGGCAGATTTACTGTATTTACATTAAAGTCATCAGCCAAAATAAGAGCAACGTCCTTCTTTACGTTTTCGAGAAGAAAATTAAGGAGATGATCGTAATAGAGTTTTTAGGAGATGGACGACGATACACGTTACATAAAGAAAAACATATGCACCAACTATAATTCCATGCATAATAGCCATGGCTTCTTGAGATGTTGTAAGCAAAGAATGTTGAATATCATGCTTTATATATGTTACTACTCCTTGCGATATACGCGTGAAGCTATTTCTGTACACTAAGAAATCCGGTATTGAAATTTCCTGATCAGAAATAAAGCGGTCAGTAAAAGTTTCTTGTAGTGATATAATTATAGGTTTCTCACTCAATACACATGATATTTTTACAAAATATATGACTGATATTTATTTTATGTTTATATGTATAGAAGAGATTTTTCTTAGATTAAAACTTTTAGTTTTAAGTTATCATTGGGTATCCACGGATGCCACAAATCTTTTGTACTTTTTTGCGATATCCTACATTTGCATAAATAAAATTCATTCACAGATCAGCACTGATTATTATTTAATTATACTCAGATTATGAACGATTTCAAACGATAGAGAGACATTTTCGTATCTGTCGTGTTTCTGGAGAAGATATTATAATGTGTTTCTCAGCTGAAGTTAAAAATCCGACGAAATGAGAACCGACTTTACCGTTTTTCTTGAAGATACATTTCTTTAAATTGTTGGGAATTATTCAGAATATTTAGCAAGTAGCTTGCGATCGCGTTTCACTGAAATTTGATTACTAGTTAGAACATCTTTTTATTGATATTTTGTATTATGTGAGAGAATACTACTATTTATAATAGGTCTCCTGTATTTTGAAACGAAGCATACCCCTAGTGAGAAATTTATTCAAATCTTACTAGGATCTTAGAATAATCTTATTAAGATCATGAGACCCGAAAATTCTAAGATTTTATAAGATTTTGAAAGTTCTTAGTAAGATCTTACTAAGATTGTACTGTCTAACGTTTTTTCATTGGGTAAGAATCTGCTAGGTTCTTGTTAGTAAGAACGACGGCGTTTTTTTAATAATATTCACTTGAAATTCACTGAAAATCATATCACCGGAACAAAAACAAATAAAATTAGTTCTGAGTTGCTGAAAAGTTCTTTTTCGTATTCAGCACACTCAATAATCCCGAAGATTTTCTATTTTTGGAGAAAGGTACTTCCAAAAGTTTAAAAAAATGTTTGAAACAAAATAGACCAAAAATGTTTTCATAGAAAAATAATATTAGTTTGAAAATTTTTCCTAAACTTTTGGAAGTACCTCTTGCCAAAAGTAGAAAATCTTCTGGGTTCCTCGTGTGTGTTGAATACGAAAAGCACTCTTTAGCCCCACAAACCAAACTTTATTTTTATTTGAATTTTTAATCTACATCATCCAAAGCAGCCGTTGAACAGTGTTGAAGAGCGAAGAGAAATTTCTTATTTTCGAATGTCCGACCATGGATATTGACGTGCATGTACATTCTCTAAAAGGTTGATGAACACTTTTCGAGAGGGTAAGTACTAGCAGGATCTAGAAGAAAAATAACCATAAAATCGCTCATATTGTTGGTATTACTTTTATAGATGAATGAGAGAAAAGCAAAAGGGTGAATGAAGCTAAAGTCATTAAACCTTATTGATTATTAAGATCTAAATCATTAAGATCTTAGATTATCTTATCAAAATTTTAAAGGATAAGATCTTATAAGACCTTAGTAAGATAATTTTAAGAAGTGTCTAAGATTCTTACAAGGGTACGGTTTTTCCACAAAATATGTAAATAATAGATAGCAAAACAGTAAAATAAATGGGAATCTTATTGAAGATTATATGTCTTGAAATAGGATGTTAACTACAGCATTCATTCAAGTATTAACATTGTTTACTACTAAACGTGTTTACTCTCATTTGCAATCTTATCGTTTTTAAATCATATATATTTGCCTATATATATGAGCAGTAAAAGTCTTTTTAAGTGAACATGCTTTTGTATTACTCTTTAAATATTTCAATGGTTAGATCACGAGTCATAATATATTTTGGTATAGAGACGCCCTTCAATTAAACAAGTAAAATAGGTATTCATTCATTTATGTTTCTTTTACATTAAAGATGTGAGTGTCATTTTTGTAACCCTTTTTGATTTTAAAGTAAACCACTTCTTTTCTTGTAAAGGTAATCAAAACTGATTCAAATAGACGATGTAGTTAATTTTTTCACCCATACGCGTTTCATTTTACATAAATCATACTTATATAGTCCTTAGTCAGTAAAAGTTAAAAACTCTTTCCGTTTTACATTTTTTTTCTTTTCTTTCTTACAGTTTGGAACTCAGCATCAATTCAATAGAAGAAATTGTCTTTTATGTAAAAAAACTGAAAAACATCAAATTTTAAATGACGTTGTCAAGGAAAAAGACTGTCACTTTTCTTGTTAAACGCTTAATGTTTGTATTCGTTAATTGTTCCTAACAACGATCTCTTTGTATTAACAACGTAAGAATCAATCAAAGTTTTCTAATTCTTTTTGTGAAAAAATAAAACCATCATGCATTAACGTCGGTAAGTAGGTCTACATGCTTAAGGAAGGCTTCAACAAATATTCATATAAATACTTATTTTTTATCTGATGAAATCCTTCTTAGAAAATATTTGAATAAAATGTAAGTCGTATAATTTTTAATTTGTTTTTTAATGAATACGGGAACATTAGAAAATTGATCAGTAATATTTTTCTGCTATATATTGCTTCTTTCTGTTCAATTCTGCATTGTATGTCGTTTTCTGTGTGAATGAGCACTAAATTTCTCGCTAATAAATAGTTTGTATTTTTTGATGAAACAATCGTTTTATACGTTATTCTTATCGCCTAGTAAGTGAAAGAGAATACATAACATTTTTCCTAGACCTTCATTATTCTAACTAAAGCAGCTGACATATAACTCAGCTGGTGATCTGCGTACAATATTTTACAAAAACTAACTTTTAGAGGATGATTTCAAAATCTAAGAAAATTAATTGCTGAATTTGTAAGTATAAATTGAAATAAGTATCCTTATGTTCACCGTATTAACATGTTTAGAAAGACTCTATTTTTTGTTATTTCAATATCTTATTCAAAATTATACTTCTTTTTTCTTTTTTCTTCTAGAAATGTTAAAATTTTGTATTCTTATCAAATAATGCTTACTCAACCACAAACACTTGTCAATCGAAATCAAGTGAATCGTGAATGCCTTTATGCATGGTATCCAGAAGTTGTCGATAGAAATCAACCCACACCTGATGCACGAGACATTTATGTAAACAATGGAATAAATAAAAATTTAATAAAAAATGGTATGTATCATCGATCACTTTTTTTGTTTTTTTCTCTCCATAATATTGAGATACTGCTGTGCTTATAATCGAAATTTTCAAAAAGAACAAAAAGAGTTTCTTTTTTTATGTATTCAATTTAAAAATTACTTTTTTGTTTAGACATTGAGTGTATCAAACGTTATGAGCAGAGTGTTGCTCCAAGTGAACAAATATATCGCTCCACAGAAACGATAGATGAAGCATTAAAAACTCCGTGGGCATTACATTACGAAGTGAAACGACGACCAGCAACACCAAATATTCCATCAAATGATAAAAATACTGAAAGTAAGTATAATCTATGGCTAGCATGCCATTTACCATTTTCAATTTGATCCTTTTTTTTAATATTTTAGTGAATACGTTAACCGGACCACCGCGACGACTAAAAAGTGCACCATTAATGCGTATAATGCAACCCACACCAGTTCTAAATATTCCTCAACCAAGAAATTTGGGCATATTTCAACAATTACACGAACAACATCGACATGTAAAATCTTCGAGATCATCTTCGGCCAAAGCCCGTCTGAATACTTCTACTAATAGCTGTCAAGATAGTACTCATAAAGAACAATCAATAGTTCGTCGAGAAACAAAATCGGCTCATGTAAGCAGAAGTCAATCTTTTAAACCTCAAACTGGTGGAAAACTATCCGATAGTGAAATAGAAACGGTTTTAACGAAGGTATATGGCAGACCAGTAAATCAACCAGTACCACCACCAACTTATGAACTTATTGTCAAACAAATTGATCCTCCTCCATCTTCTGTACCACAGCCAGTTTATACTTATACCAAAGCGAATTCATGGTGTGGTGAATTATCCCAAGAGAAGGAGAATGGCAATGTTGAAACACGAAGTCTGATTAGTGAAATTCCACTAAATCCACATTACATACATCGTTCTGGTGTGATAGCCATTCCAAATACGGATAAGAAGCCAGTTATTCAAACAATAAATTCGAATGACAACAAAAATCTCAAACGACGTTTTAGAATGCGAAAACTAAAGAGCCGCGATGACAAACGACATACACTCAATGAACCATTATTAGCTCTAACACCAATGTATAATGGAAATTATTCAATGATTGAACCAAAAAAAGTTGATAACATTAATAATACGTTTTCAGTAGAAGTAGGAGGCGTCAAATTAATATATGATCCAGATATACGATTAGATGATCCATCGCCTCAAATGACCAAGTATCTTGTTGATGGTAGATTGTATCTTATTAAAAATCAACGATACAACTTTATTGATAATGTAGATGCTAAAGAGATGGAAAAATATAATGAAAATTTAAAGTAAGCTACTAGCAAAATTTAAATCTTAAATCACAATTGGAATTTTTATATCGCGATGACTCTTATATTGATTTCTCTTGAGACGAATTTCTATAACGTCAGTAGCCTTCTTAGATTAGTATCAGAATCTTATGCGATAGAATTTACTAATTATTCATGTAAGATACGTGATGCGTATTATGTGACCTTATGTTCTAATCTGTGAAAATTTGTCACAAACAGTAAAAGAAACGAATACACTATACGCTAGATTTCTTGGAATAGTTCATGCGATTGTTCTGTGACTTCCGAAAAAATGTTTTACAGTGAATACGCATCACGTTCAAGTAATAGAGACGCTCGCTATAGTGTAATTTTAAATAGCAAAAGATCGTCTTAGGTAATCAAAAATGATATAACTCAGGAAACACCCATCATTTGTTGACAATTTTTAAAAGAATGTTTTTTTGCACTTAAAGGAACGTTTCATCACTGTCGCAGTATATTAGACAATGCCAGTTTTTAATTAGTTATCCCTAAAATGTGTTTTATTTGGTCTCAGTTAGGCGTCCTATGGGCATGATAATATTTTCAGTATATCAGATTTATTTTCTATAAACAAGCTTCCATACGAACAAGACAATTTCTGAGTTTTCAAAAGAGATCATATGTTACTTATATACTTGTTGGGTCTAGCAAAATATATAGGTAATTAATTTGTAAACAAAATGATTTACTTACTATTTTTTGGAGTGATGCTTACGCATTTTCTCGTTAGTTGCTATGAGAAAGATCAGACAGGACAACTGATTTAAAATCGAATATAATCTGAGTAAGATTAATTTCTTTTTTTTTTTATCATCTTAGACTTAACGAACGTCCGAAATATTATCAGACTATTCCAATTGAAAAATTTAAATTATCCACTCCGCCTCCCGAGTTACATTACAATGCCACCGAAACATACTTTTATAATACGGTACCAAAACAGCCGCAACGTTATGTCGTTTCTCCCGACTGGATATCTGAAGATCTTAATGTACATAAAATTTCATTAAAAAAGCGTCCACAAACTAGTACTACACCGGCTCTTTATCGACGAGATATTGCACTAGCATATTAACCGTGATATGAGAAAAAAAAGAGATAGTGTATTGAAAGTAATAAAAGAAAAAAAAACACCTAGTAATGTTCACGTTTTTTTTTTTTTACATTACAGTAGTGTTTATAAATAACCGGTGAGAAGTTTTGGAATATAATTGATTACGAATATAGACTAACAAAAAGTTTTTAATAGATCATTTTGACATCTGAGTTTCTATATAAATAAGTGATGAATGATTTATCCATCTGACTATAAATGTTATGAAAAATGACTTAAGTAGATTCATTGTAAAGTAGTAGAATTGATTGTTTTTGACAAATCTAGCTATCAAACAAAAATTATATGAACCTAATAAGAAAAGAAAAACAAAATCACGGAAGAATAAATAACAAAGCAAAAAAAAAAAAAAGAAAGACATAAAAAATAATGAACCGGTTTTGGTGAAGATTGATGCTTATATTTCTGTTTGATAAGTATATTAAACAATATTTCCTAAACTATATTTATTATCATCTCCTGTCTTATCTATATTTTTGTCATCTTGCACTATTATCATTCTTGTTCTTGCTTTTTCTCTACCATGACCATCGTTTCCAATAATATTATTATCTTGTTGTCTCACTACTAATAATTGATGGTAATTATGATTGGTATTATTTGATGATATAATATGTGTCGTATTTGTATTACTAAACTGTTGTTGTTGTTGTTGTGATATTGATATCTTTTTTTTATTTTGTATTTTATTATTAACATCTGATCTCATTTCATACAATCTCCATTGTTCAAAACAATCGCAACGACAACGCATTTTTTCCACTAATACTTTTCGAAAACTTCGTCGAGATATAACATAGAGAAAAAAATATGTACTATAATTGAGTAAATGAAGTACTTCGGATATTAATTTAGCTGATTCAACAAATGGTGTTGGAGTTTTACCACGAACTCGTATAACACAAATATAACACCATAAAATAAAATAGGGAAAATTTAATATACCAAATGTAACTGATATAACAACAAGCATCCATGTTACTTTATCGTTTTCTAATTGATTTTTAACAATACTTTGATAATATTCATTTTCAGCTGCATTACTTTTATTTAATTTACTATTTCGTGCAAGTATTGTTGATGTAGCAGCATCTAATTGTGCTTCTTCATATTGTAAATTTTTATTTTTTTTTCGTATATTTGCTGCTTTTAACAATTGTCGAACAATTAGAATATTAACGATACATACGATTAATATGGGAAATGTTAACGTTAAATTACCGTAAATAATTGTTAAATAAAGATAAATTAAATTATATTTTTTCATAATATCACATTCGGAATTTTGATGATTTTGTTCGCTAGGAATCACATCCGACATAATAAACGAATAGAATGGTACGAGAAAAGACATGATTAAAATAAATAAGCAAACACGTTTGGCACAACGAGGCGTACATAATATAGATGTATGCAATGGAAAATGAACGACAATCAAACGTTCTAATGTAAATGCAACAACAATCCAATGGGCAGCAAATCTTAGAGTATGCCGCAAATAAGTTGACGCTAAAAAAAGGAAAAAAGAAAATTCACTGTTATTTTAGTATTTAAATAAATATCTCTATAGAAATCTGGAAAAATTTAACTGAAATCTTCAGCAGACATGTACCAATACTTATCGGTTGCAATTCTGTGGATTTCTTTTTTCATTTAACGTAAAATAATCTTCTAAAACTTGTTTAATTATTAGATTTTATGGAGGTAACATTTTTTTAGGAATCGGGAATATCAGTTTATGGCTCTGTGTCAAGAATCGATCAAGATAAAGAGTTCCATCATGTCTTAATCTTTAGAAAAAATGTTTGTTTTATAAAACTAAATCGTTAAAAACTTTAATGTATTACACTTTGTAATCAATCTGATTGGAGAAAAAGAATTATACCGGTAAAGGTCGATGCATAGTTAATCTCCAGTTCAGTTAAACTACTTTAACAGAATAATTGACTATTTTTCTATAAACTATTAAATTTATCGAAAATTTTTTATTTTTTTCTTCGTCAATTGAAATACATGTCAAATATCAGAACATTTAAAGTGATTTTCTACACAAACGAGTATGAGAAGATGTACTTATATTAAAAAAAAAAAAAAAATGAGATATTAAATATATCTTTTTTCATACTTACTTTTACATAATAATTTACTTAAATCAACAAGATTTAACGGTAAATCAACTTCAAAATCATTTACAATTGATCTTAATATTTCATCACAGAAAAAATTAAATAATAATAGAACTACAACAAAACTCATTGTAATTAAATATTCATTTGATGAATTACGACGAATTTTTGTTGATGAAAATACTTTAATTGATAATATACTACCAATCATACCGATAATAATTAAAAATATACTAGCATAAAATCGAAATAATTTACACGCATTTTTTAATTGTTCACCAAAAGATATTTTAACAATATGATTATAATTAGTAATTGTTGTTGTCGTATATATATTAATTGTTGATGTAATTTCAGGAAATAGAGTTGTTGTTGTTGTTAAATTTTTATTCCAATTCATATTAAATTTTATTATCAGTTATAAATTTGACTACATATATAAAGGTTAACTAAAAGTAAAAATTTGTTATCAAATGTAATTTTAAACTGTCTATAACAGACACATTAATGTTAATATAGACTAAAACTAAAATATATTTTTCTTTTTTCGTTCGCATTTTTCTTTTTTGCTTTGTTATTTATTCTTCCGTGATTTTGTTTTTCTTTTCTTATTAGGTTCATATAATTTTTGTTTGATAGCTAGATTTGTCAAAAACAATCAATTCTACTACTTTACAANGGGGGGTTCACAAATAAAAAAATATTAAAATAAAAAAAAAAAAAAAATGGCAGATGGATAAAACTTATGGACTTCCTTTTGACTAAGCCTATGGTGAGTTTATTTTATCCATTAAATCTTCATTAATCGAATAACTATCATAGAGATTTCCTTATTTTCTGTTCGCATAAAAAAAAGATCTATAGTATCGTTGAAAACGAACTGTTTTTTATTTTTTTTTATGAATAAAAATGTATATACGTATAGAATGATGAAACGGATTTATATTTTAACTGTCGATTAACGACTTTTCTTGTTTATTTTGTGTTCTATGTAGAAAAATGAGTTAACTAACATCGTGCACAACATATTTAACTTATAAACTAATCAATCTTTGGAGTCATGCAATTCTACATTGAAACAATCATAAATTATCATTTGATATCTGAATATAGATAGGACTCGATTAATTGAAAACTGATGTGACGAATAAATATATCATATGGTTTTAATGTTCTTTCAATATACTGATATATTTCAATATGGTGATGATCGTTTTATTCAGAAAATACTCACTGAATATAAAAGAAAATTGTTGAACTGAATTTGTTCATTCATATTGTAGATATATTAATCAAATCTAAAGACGTTGAAGATCATTATTCTGTACGCTGTTAGCCTTATCAACTCACTAGCAACTTTTCTTTTTTTTACAAATTATATTAGCTTCAATGATGTTTTTCAAGGTTGATGCTATAATAACGACTTTTTTTTTGTTTGTGCTCAAATAACCCTTCATTCATTCTTATTGTAACAAGAAAAAATAAAACGTCTCTCACATTTATCATTTAACAATAAATCGGAGTTGAAACTTAAAGATGTGGAAAATAATCCATAGAAAACATGTCTTTTTTTTTACTTTCCTTAAACGTTTTACTTTCTAGCCTACAGCTAGCTGTTCGCAAATTTTTATATGACTTGACAAAATGTATATCAATCACGTAGAAAAAAAATTAGTGCACGGAAATACAAAACTTCTTTTTCTGAAATTAATTTCATCAGAAATACAGATCTACTCTAGTAACACGTAAACGTAACAACAATAAAACTATTGCTCGAAAATTCAAGAATAAAACAATTCATAAAGTATTACAGCGTTTTTGGCAGTGGTTATTAGGGCTAAAAAGAAGAAACATCAAGCTATGTCATTCATTCACTCAATTATAATACGTCTTATATTACTAAAACCTTGTGTCAAACGTACATATGCTATTTTGTTCTCGATAATATATTATTTTATTCAAACAACATTTCGTGTCCTTGAGAATTCTCAACGAAATAATAGCGGTCTTCATATTTGTTGATAAATTCTTTTTATCTGTGATAGTCTAGACTTTTAATTGACTTTTTAAAGGATTCACAATTAATTTCTGTACAAGAATACATTACAAATTTTTGTTTGAAATGTAAAACGTGAAAAATTCAAATGAAAAATCATTCAAAACTATAAAATGGAAGAAAAAATATTGTTCTCATACAAGATTTGATTTTTCTTAATCTTTATGGTTCGATAATCAATTCATCCTTAAAAGCTGATTCAATTATACAGTTTTATCAGAATTGAATCATACTCTAAAGCAGGTCGGAAAAAACTAAAAGTGACTTTTTCACATAAAGTTT